ATAACCGAGATTGCTCCAACTTTGTTCGTTTTCAGAAACATTAGATTAGTAGAGCACAAATATCTTGTAAATACGAAACGTAACTGGATTTCTATGAATCTCCAGAAAGAATCATTGTTGGGGCGACCTTAATTTCGTATGAAAGGGCATGTAGAAGAGATGGGTAGGTTAATCTCAACAGAAGACGACGGCTGAATCCCAATGTACTGCAGCCGTTTGGCTCTAGTACAACCTTCAGGTTAACGCAGTCCACGAGATCTCCTCTCTCGTTTCGGGTGAAAACGGGCTGAGCTTTCATCCGTCAATTGTTGGACTTCATCAAAGCTGGAACTCATTCATTCTGTTAAGAGTGTCACGTTAATACTCGGTCAAGAAGATTATCCGGCCCAATCTTACAGCTTATATATGGAATTGGATTTTGCGTCGTATATAGCATGCCGATTGTCGGTTGAGCAAACAAACAGGTGTCGTCAATTCTATCGAAACATTACTTATTTCCTAAATAAGTAGTCTTGTAGACTATCAATAATTCTTGAAAAAGTTGATGCAAAGTAATGACTGATAGACTGGAACTCAATTTCTAGCGAAAATAGCCAAATACTCTTACAGTCATTCTTCTGCTTCGCCTCACTTCTGACCAACATTGCACCCTTTTGCAGAAGAGCTATTGTGGGGCGAATGTCTATTCCATCAGACCTTTCTTTCATTCTCACTTTGGGCAGTTTCGCTAGCGCAAATGCTTCGCAGAAGCAAGTGGCGCTGATAAGACGAGTCGTCATGCTATCGAGGCGTTCAGGTTAGAAAAGAGCGGCCAGACTTTTGTCGGAAATTAGGCGCGATCTTTACTTTGTGCGTGTGTTTGTCGAAATGAAGACGAAGCAGGATTGTTGTCAATGCTTGTGCTGAGTCCCGCAGGTGCTCGACTCAAAGGTGGTCTGCAAGGGTGGGTGGGTAAAAGGGAGCTAGAGGGGTTCTGGTGAAGGAAAGGACACCAGTTCGTGTCGTCTTCTTCGACCTTGGCAGGAAACGGCCGTCGCATCTTCCAGTCGCAACCGCCAAAGGAGAACATGTTGGGCCTGATGCTGGACGCGATTTCTTCGCCATCGTCTGGTCAAAGAAGATCCCATACGGCCGCAAGTCGAGTCTAGTCACAGCATAGGCAATCGAACCAGGCACTTTGCGGTAGAGTCGATCTGCGTCAATGTTGCAGCGGCATGAGCAGGACAGGTTGAAGACACGAGATTTGGCGCAGCTGCAGGCAGTTTGGTGAGCCCAAGCCCAAGCAGAAGGTACTTCCTCAAACCGAAAATCCTCGTAAAAGACAACAAGTTTTGTGAACAAGTCCGCGTTTCAGGCCAAACACACGAAAAAACTGTGTTGTTGGAAAACATAAAGAGAAACTGGGATTTGAGGAATTTCATAGTTCTATATGGTAGCATGAAGTTGGTTTCGAAGGAAAAGTTGGTTAGAGGCAATTCGTGGTGTGGTCTCAGCAGAAACTGAAGAAGGATTATGAGATGTATTCACCCTATTTAGTTTAAGGTGCTGAAGGAGTGGTAGTAAAGTTTTCCCACAATGATATGAGTAAAGCTGACGTTTCCATTCAATTTCACATAGCCTTGCTTTCCCAAAAGTTGTTTTCATTCCCAAACGTATATTTGCTATAACAATCGACTACTTTATTTTATTTTACACATTCAACTATTGTTTCAAGACTACCAGTATATCAGTAGTATGAGATGTCTTCACCTTATTTCGTTTAAGGTGATGAAGGGCTGGTAGATGAAGAATTTTCCCACAATTATGTGATTAGAGCTGACGTTTACATTCAATTTCACATAGCCTTGCTTTCCCGAAAGTTTTTCTCATCCAGGCACCAGTGGACTGCAGTTTCTACCTCGCATAGGTCTTATCAACTTGTTATCAACTTGACACATCAACCTCTCGTCCCCTTGGGTCACAGGACAGATGTGAATTTCAAGGAAGGCCAGGCCTTTTGTCATATCACATTCTTTGGTGGAATTGTCGATGAAGCAAA